GGTCTCCCTTCATCATCTCGCTCCCGTTGTGCGCAAGGACAGAAAACTGGGTTATACAGAGGGGAAAAAAGGTTTTATTTAGGACGGGCACATGTAGCTAGTAATAAAACATAGCAATATAAAGGAGGTTTATGTAATACACAGCCATTAGCATAGTAACAAATGCAAATGTAGTAATTCCTCACTCGTAATGCTGAACTTTGTATGTTAATACTTTACCAACAGTAGTGACCTAAAGAAGAGTATCATAGAAAAGACTACAAAACTGCAGACAGCCTCTGGACTACCAGTAGGAGCTCATCGTGTGCCAGTTCAGACTAGGACATGGCATGGGGGGGGGAGGGGGCGGATATTTCTTTTGGTTAAATAAGGTAAGGCCACACTTTTGCCCATGTTTTGTTGGTACCGCAAGTTGGAAGGTGCTCAAAACCACCAAGGTCAAATTGAGGAGAAGCTGCCACAGACTAGTAAAGGGCAGTGTTCGAACTGGAAATACTTGCACATCCCTGTTTTGTGGGGAAAGCCACGGCAGTTCTGTGTTACTCAGGCTTGCGTGCGGAGGTACTAATTCACTGTCCCATGTAAGATTTGGAAAAGAGTTAGAAAAGACAAACAGATTGAAGTTCAGCTCCAAAGTCTCAAGACTCAAAAGATTTGGAAATGCCTTGTCAAACACTGGGTTAACTTACTATATTCATGAAAAATACGGGAAGGTAATAAAAAGAGAGTTCCTAAGACCACCACAGTGTCTAACAAGCTAAAGTTTTGAGTCAAAACCAACCTGGAACTTTGTATTTTGATCTTCACCTTAGTTGTAAAGTTATTTTACAAGCCTGATTCTCCCAGTTGTTATTTTACCACATATTCACAGCCCCCATCTACACAGAAGCTGGTGCCTGTTTCTTAGGCTCTCTGCACTCTCCCTAAACCGCCAGCGCCTGGCTCTTAGGACTGACTCCCCGCTTCCAGACCTCCTAATGGCTTTTGTGCTGCTGGGGTAAGCACCCAGCCCTGACACCAGTTACTATGCCTCCAGTCAGTCTCTTCCCACCGTGGTTCTCATCACCCACCTTTTCCAGGTACCCCCAATCACTGCTTTTGCTTCCCGCTCCGAGCATCCACTCCAGCCCTATGGCAGAAGGGAGGCGGAGGTGAGCATTCTCCTACCCAGCATACATTTATAAGGTTTCTTGGCCGCGTGGATCTTCAAATGCACTTTAAGCGTTGAGCTTTTCCGGAAGCTTTTCCCACACTCGCCGCACTCGTAGGGCTTGGCTCCTGCGTGGATCCTCAGGTGGGCACCGAGGGCTGAGCTGTGCCTGAACGCTTTTCCGCACTCCTCGCACTTATACGGTCTCTCCCCGCGGTGGATCCTCAGGTGCACGTTGAGAGCTGAGCTCCGTCGGAAGCTGTCCCCGCACTCCACACAGATGTAGGGCCGCTCCTCGGCGTGTGTGCTCTGGTGCTTGGCCAGGGTGGAGTGGTCGCTGCACCTCCGGCCGCACTCGGCGCACTGGTAAGGGGTGGGCAGGAGGCTACCTTGGTATATGGGCAAGGCTGTCCCGCCGTGGATCCGGCGATGAGTGGTGAGCGCCGAGCTCTGGCTAAAGCCCTTCCCACACACAGGGCACTTATAGGGCTTCTCACCTGTGTGTGTTCGCATGTGGGTCACCAGTGAGGAGCTCTGCCGGAAGGCTTTCCCGCACTCGGTGCACTCGTATGGTTTCTCTCCCGTGTGGATCCTCTGATGCCGAATGATGGCTGAGCTGTCCCGGAAACGCTTCCCACATTCCTGGCACTTGTGGGGCTTCTCTCCAGTGTGGACTCTCCGATGTATGATCAGGGAGGAGCGGTCGCTGAAGCTTTTCTCACATCGGGGGCAATTAAAGGGTTTCTCACCCTTGTGGCTCCGCTGGTGGACAATGAGGTGTGAGTTCTGGCTGAAGCTCTTCCCACACTCGTTGCACTGGTAGTGTCTCTCTCCCGTGTGGGTCCGCTGGTGCCTGATCACATTGGACCTCTGGCTGAAGGTCTTCTCACACTCACTGCATTGGTAGGGCTTCTCGCCGGTGTGGATCCGCTGGTGTTTGATCAGGTCCGAGTTGCGGGTGAAACTCTTCCCACATTCGGAGCAGCTGAAGGGTTTCTCTGCCAGGTGGATCCTCTGGTGCTGGCTTAGGTAAGAGCTCCGGCTGAAGCTCTTCCCACACTCAGGACACTCATAGGTTTTCTCTCCCACCTGCTGAATCCAAATGGCACTGTTCCCACACATGATTTGGTCTGGCTTGTTGCCAGCAAGGATAACCTTGCTGATGTGGGCTCTACCACTGTTGTCGCACTCCCAGACTTCCATTGCACAGGGAGTTACCATTGCCCGCCTCTCTCCATAAGAGGTCTCCACCTCACTTTCTATCTCCAGCTCCTGCTTGCAGTCATGTCTTTGACTGGCATCCTGGAGGGTATCTCCTTTGAGCATTCTCGGGGGGAACAGATGCAGTTCAGCTCTCACAGGACTTCCCTGATGAAGCTTGCCCTTCTGTGTGTCGCCCATGGTCCTGTCACCTGCTGGAGTGAACAGAGGAACTAGCAATGAATAACCCCCCTGCTTCTCTGAGGGAGAAGTCCAAACAAGGCAACTGCAGCACATCAGCTACCATTAGTGCAGGAGGCAGCCCCTCGGTATCTGCTCCAGGCAGAGAGGGCACAGAGACTGAGTATGGGAGGGGAATGTGACCCAAGGGTGGGCACTCACTGTGGCACAGGTCACAAAAAGGGTCCTCAGTCAAAGTGTTACAGCCCTAAAGGACAAAACCTGTCACTTGCTTATCCTCACAGTTCCCATGTCTAGCAAGGTTAGAGGAACGGCATCGCTGCCCCCCTCAGCAACACCCACTGTAGCTGCTTCTCTTCCTGTTGCCTATGAATCACTGCTCTTCTTCCAGCATTCCCATCCTTAATCAGGGAAGGAAGAAGCCAACACCACAGAGGCATCCACCCCTGCCAAGTAGACTATTTTCTTCTTTCCAGTCATAGCCCTTTTCTTTAAAAAGAAACCCCTACATATTCTGCAGCAAATTGTACCTGGATTTTGTCTACAGAACAGATAGGCAAGTGAGTGGAAAGATAAACTGTTTTATTAATCAAGCAAACAAACGTTCAGAGCTTTCTGATTGTTTTATTAGTTATAAGAACACACCTCAGAAATGGACGCTGGAGTGTGAGGTAAGACAATTATCTGGATGGCACTGCTTACAGAGTTAACATCATCCTCTTACATGTGGAAGGTCAGAATATGAGGTGAATGCAGCAGGATAAGCCCCTCAGGTTTGGTTTCAGGTGATCTGCAGATTTTGGAAGATACCACCGCACTGGTTGTACTGATTCCCAAAGTTTTGTTTACAACACTCAAGGCTGAAAAACATTTGTAGGACAAATAAAGGTACAACAGTGGCCCAAGGCATGCACCTCAAGGCAGCAAACCAACCAACCAAACATTAAAACTCTTGTCAGCGTGAAAGGAAGAAAAAGCCACACCTTGGTTAGCTGTGCTTTCTAACATTCTGAGTATAGTCTTTGCTGAAAATACTCAGGATTTGATTTCATTTGGATAGGGTCTTTTTGAAAGGATATTAAATACCCCAAGAGTGTGTTTCTTTTTTATCATACCTTGCCTACGAATCTTCCTGAAAGCAGAATCTTTACAGTACGGTAGCAGAGGAGGCAGGATGAGTGTGCAGCATGCAGCATAGCACACACCAAATTATCAGCACTCAGCTCTTCTCTCCCCTTCCCAGACATGCTCGGTTCAATTCCTCACCTTGTGAGCAAACTCTCTGCTGTCTCAGTGTTTAGCCACTTCTCGCCAGAAAGCTGTTTTTCTTCATGCCATGCAGGAGGTTTCAGCCATCAGGGACTGCAGATCCTGATCAGAGGAAAGAAAACAGATGTAATAAATACCCGTTGTAGTAGCGGTGCTGTAGAGTGAGATTACAGAAGAATAAGTACTTAGGAGATAAAAGCAACCTAGACCAGAGGAAAATGACACCCAGAAACATGAGTCAGGGTCGCTGTCTGTCCTACCACGCACACTGTGACACTGCTGTTCGGGTTCAATAACCAGGGCCAGCTCATGTAGAGAAGCCAGGGTTATCTACCCATGCTGCAGAGAGCTGCCTGCCAGCTTGTGGCCTTCTCACAATGTCACAGTGTTCCCCCTGCTGCATTTCAAGACCAAAAATACCTCCTACTGAGTTTGATGTAAGAAAACCATCAATTCCTCAAACCATTTCCCCTCCATCACATTTCTTCCTAGTGAACTAAATAAGAACATCATGTGGTTAATGCAGTTCAGCAGTTCTGGTAGAGGGAAAGTGCCACCTTCACAGCTGGGCTGCTTTCTATGTCTGTCTGGATACAGGCAGTTTATTGCCTTTACACAAGGAGTATTTTGCCTGGTTGCTCTCAGTAGTGGCTCAGCCAGGCACACACAGGTCTGGGTGAGAGAAGAGACTTTGGTCTGCTCACATGTTATCAACAGGAGCAGTCTGAAGGCAGAATTTCCTGCCCTGTGCTCCAGAAAAATGGCAATGTCTTGTTCCAGATGGAGTTTTCAGGGCTCGCACTGAGCAGGAAAACAGTCACACACACCTGTTTGTGCATGAACACCAAGACGGTTTGATGTGGCCAGTTCTGACAGCCAACATGCAATCCCACTTCTCAAGGATCTCTGTTCAGAGCAGAAGTATGCTGCGCGGGAGTGGGGTTTGTGGGATGGAAAATTAGGTCACCCATTTAGCTTGAGCACTGTATTTGTGCAGTGGCATTTGTTTAGAGGCATTTTAAGATGCTGAGGGCTCAGTGATGTACAGGTTAAACAAAGAAAATGCTTAAAACTTGCACATGGGAATGCCAGCTCTGCAATGGAGTTTCACCATTCTGGTTATGTGGATGCCCACCGTGCCACTAGCAACAAGTGTAAAGTTACCAATGACCAGGTGTTCATAAGAAAAAGAAATGTAAACCAGCATTTCTTCCTTTCAAAATGAGAAAAGCTGAACTGAATGTTCAGTGGTGTACCAGAGGAGGGTACCACAACAAACATCAGCTACCAGACCCTCCCAAGGACAGAGGGAAGATTTCCCTCCCTGCATAACTCTACCATAATAAAAGAAGCCGCTAATCACATGGAGAGCTGACATTCTGTTGGATCTGCCTCAGGCTGGAGTCACATCCTTCCTGCTCTCCACCTCCTCCACAGTGGGTTCAGTGGGTGTCACCCCTTGGGGAGAGAGTGTTTCCAATCCTCACAGCAGTAGGCACTGGCTGCAGGCTCTGACCCCAAGCAAGAGGCAGGGAAGCCAAGATCTCCTTCTCTCTGCAACCTCCATCCTACTATAAGGCAGTGCTGCTCTGACCCTACTGAACCATCCTCCTGATTTTAGAAGGAGAGAAATGTCCCTGTGGTTCATTTCCTTGCTGCTGTCATTCGAGGTGAGCACGTAGTCAAAACAGGCACCCTAAAATGGTGGGTGAGCACCTACAGAAAGCAGACGGTGGATGCAGGAGACAGCTGATGTTGTGCAGAACCAGGCAGCCTGTGGGATATGGCAGAAAAGCACATTGTGCAACAGGTAGTAAAGATCTGTCCCTAAACAAGACAGGAAACGTGAAGCGCCAACAAGCACCAGACAAGGACAAGGTGCCAGTCTCCAGAACAGACATGTTTGGATAAAGCTGAGTCCCCAGGTAGTGTCCTGGCTGATGAGGTAACACAGTCCTTATAAAGCTGAATGAGGAACAAGAGGTGACCTGTAGCATGGGGGGGCGATGGGCCACACCAAGTTCTTGTACTGACAGACAGACACAAGCCACAAAGGGGCTGCCCCATAAAGGATGCATCTGGTCAGGGATACTAAGACCACTAAGACCACAAGCCTCTGGGAGGCAGGAGGGGCATGGAGAACAGAAAGCTGCAGTGGACATCAACCTGAGAAAACCAAACATACTCTGTGTGGGCTTTCTCTGGGCCTGGTGGCACAGCGAGAAGGAGGGCAGACCCCGCTGCAGCAGGAGGTGGCCTGGGTCCAAACTCAGCCTCACTCAGCAGGTGCCCACCACTGCCTTCCCCAACACAAAACCTAGCACCCGGTAGGGCACAGACCCAGTGGCAGGGCAGGAGGGGAGGCAGAGGGAGCATGGGCACGAGGAACAGTTGGAACTGAGGTGTCTGTGACGCCACGAGACATTCCACTGGTGTTGGTGAACCCGGTGGGGCAGGACGAGGACACAGGCAGACAGGCAAAGCAGCAGATGTGACACCTCTGGCAGCACAGAGGGTCCCAAGCTGTTATAGGCATCACTCACAGCATCATGGCAGCCACATGGGCTTGTCTGGTTTTGTCTGGTGAGTAGGACACATCTCTCTTTCAAGCCAGGTTGTGAGGAACAACAACCAAACCAGCTGCTCTTTACCCCTCCCCATTGCTCCTCAGCTTTGGTAATTTCAGGGCAAGAGGAAGAGACAGGAGCACCCCTGAATGCCTCAGATGCAAAGAGCTCAAAATTTTGCCAGTCTTCACTGATTGGAGCTGCTATTTTATTCATCAAGGAGGGCCAGAAAGTGACCTAGGGGCCAGGGAGGAGGACTCGGAGGTGGATGCAGTGGGCTGAGGCTGGAGCAGAGGTGGAGATTGGGGATGTGATGATGGGGACAGCTGTGTGGGTAAATGGGACATGAGCACAAAAGCAGAGATGTAGACATGACTCACAAGGCCAGAAGGGAAGAGCTGTCCAGGTAAAGTAACAGGAGGCAGGAGAAAGAGGTCTGAGGGAGGACCTTGGCTAAAAACAAACAGAAAGGGATATAGCTGGAAGAAATGGATAGAAAGGCCAGGCTGCTCTGGCCACATGCTAGCAGGAGACCCTGGAGGGGTCCGCTATCCCCCAGTCTCCTCGTTCCCCTGCTTTCTGCAAACTCACACACAGTCACCTGTCAAAGTGTGGTGCTCTCCTCTCCTACTGCCTCACTGAGTGCTCAGTAACTCCTGCTGTCCTCTTGGGGTGAAAGGTTACATGCTTTGCTTTGATCCTGCTGCATCTACAGACACAAAGGTGTTAGTAAGTTGGCATAGATGTTAATGAGACATAGGCCGTGAGGAAGCTTTTAAGTTAGTTTTTACCAAAAAAAGCCCCAATGTCCCATGCTAAGAGAACATTACAGACGTTGCAAAGTCAAACTTGGAGCATGCCTGAATCACACTCATTTTGCAATGTTAGATTTGTTCCCCCTGTGCATGGGCATGGTGACCCAGCTCTTTGATTACCTGACTTCAATGTTTTCACATGGGTTTCGGCTTCTTTAGTCCCTTGGAT